AAATCTGGGTAAAATGACTCCAACCCATACATATCTCAGTCCACTGCTCAGAGTGAAAGAAATACAGATTTTCCTCCTAAGTACACTTGATTTCTCATTCATTCTCTTTCCATCAGAATGTCAAAACCTTAGTTTAAATTTGTTCCTAAAACCTGCTCCCTTTTTCTCAGGGGTTACTTACACAATAGGGGTGCAGTTGTAGCAGGGGCACTCTTGATGTTCTCAGTCGCCTGTCAGTTTATGTATCTAAAATCCCTCAGGTCAGTGTTTGATCATACCAGGTACCACGGTGGGGTCATATTATGTTTCTGCCTTTCTGAGCACAGCAGGTCCCTTTGGCACACAAGTGACAGTTTTGGACACAGGGAAATAATTCACTTTGCACATGAACTAGGGTGCAGGGAATTTTGTCAGCATGTCTAGCATTCCATTATGGCTGCACATGGCTCAGCAGTGCTACATCTGAGTCACACAGGGAACAGGGGAATCATTTCTTCTGTATCACCCTAGACATGGAAGCCCTGTGAGGAGCCTCCCTCCCAAAATCTACACACTTATCCACAGGTTGGCTTTTGTTGTTGTTGTTGTTTATTTGTTTGTTTGGTACTGGGAATTAAACCCAGAGGTGCTTAACCACTGAGTCACATCCCCAGCCCTTTTCTATGTTTTATTTAGAAACAGGGTCTTGCTGAGTCGCTTAGGGCCTCGCTAATTGCTGAGGCTGGCTTTGAACTTGTAATCCTCCTGCCTCAGCCATCCCAAGCTGCTGGGATTACAGGTGTGTGCCACCACACCTGGTGCTTATCTGCAGGTTTTTGCCATGTCTCTAGGACTCACTATGAACAGAAAGAATGAATTCCCACTTCTGTCTTCAATATCTCATAAAGGTAATATCTCAGTGCTGCACCCTCCTTCCCCTCCACTCCACCCCCAACTTGCTCCCTTCTCCTATCCTGGGGAATTGGTTTCTATACAGCCAGTATAGAAGCCCTTCTTTCATGTCAAATCTTCTATGTATTCTGTAAAGCCTTTTGGTTCCTCTAATATCCTCCTTAATACTACCTGTTAAGATGTCTTTTCCCTGGGCAATCGACATTTAAAATCTGGCTGTCTAAGTAAAAAGAAGGACCAAAGTACTACAAGAAACATGGCTTAGGGAAGGAAGAGTGGATATAAAATGTAATAACTTTACCTTCTCCTGCTATGGGAAAGGAAAGCATTCTAGAAGAAGAACATATAAAAATGGGGACAGACATTCAGTACATTTTCAAGCCAGTGGATGAGAGTGGAGGACTTGTTGATGGAATACAATAGATGGTCAATTCAATTGGGTCCCCATAAAAAGACAAGTAGCTGACTGAAGAGTAGAGCTCCATCTACATGCAATGCAGTCAGTAAAGACTTAGCTGTTGTTTGCTTTGGACAATCAGGAAAGAAACATGATAAAAATGACAAGGCAGCTATTTCCGAAAAATGGAAGACTTTGATGGAAGAATGTAAAACATCCAAGTTTAGAGTCCAGGAATTAGAATATTTTTAATGTAAAGGGACAAGTTACCAGGTAGGTACACAGATCTTTTTCTGTAGTGGAGGTTCCAGTCTCTTAAAATCTTTCCCTTAGACACAGTGGACACAAGGTTCACCCCAAACATGAGAGTGGGGTTAAATACAGGATATGAGGTTTCTGCACAGTAGCTCAGCATGTCCTGACACTGCTCAGCTAACATAGTCTTTTCTCCCACAACACTCTAGGCATTAGCTACAAGTGACTAGTGGGTACTTGAATGTTGCCAGTGTGAGCAAGGAACTGAATTTTTAATTTAATTTTTAGCAATTCGCATTTTAATAGCAATTCATGACCCTTGGACACTGTGCTGGGAGGCACTGATCTAAGGTGTCCACACTTAACTACTAAAGATTATCACCACATTTCTATAAATTAAACAAATGGTAAGGCCAGAATCAACATTAGATTTAATTTTTAGAAAAGGAATTCACATCACATTTTGAGAAACAGAGAAGAAATTGAGAGAAGATAAGTGAACATTCCATGATCACCTTGCTACTTTTCTAGAAAAAGCAGAATCAGGATAAAATCTCTGTGAGGGTGTAGTCTCCCATTGCCCTGCCTTATCCAGAGTTTGAAAGATGTCTACTTCAATTCTTCATGAACCATCATCACAATCAAAATTACTTTAAAGGTTATTAACAGGTGAAAGTAACTCCCACCTCATTAGATTATTAGGAGGATTCAATTTTAATATGCCTGCAAACCACTTAGCCTAGCATGTGGCAGAGAGGAGTCATTCAGATAGGTGATTACTGAAGACAGTTAATATTATCAATTGCATTAAATGGCTAAACTGTTCAAAGCTATACTTCATTTATGATAAGAGGTAATTAATTATCCTACCTCATATGGTCATATTATGACCAGACTTGGATGAAAGCATCTAAAAATTGTTAGATTTGAATTTTACTTTGAAAACCCTACCTAAAGTGTTCTTTATGTTGGAATATTTATACTGCTCAAGCCTATAGGATTTGTAGGGGTTTGTTTTGTTTTGTTTTGCTTTTGGTATTAGGGCTTTAACCCAGAGGTGCTTAACCACTGAGCTGCATCCCCAGCTGTTTTTAAACATTTTTTTTATTTTGAGACAGGGTCCCACTAAGTTGCTTAAGGCCAAACTAAGTTGTTGAGGCTGGCTTATGATCTTTCTGCCTCAGCCTTTCAAACTGCTGGGATTACAGTTGCATGTCACCACACCCAGGCTAGGGTTTGTAATATTAATGAGTTTGCTTCCAGTTACCTAAAACTGGTTAATCACTAACAAACAAACGTCATTGCAGGCAATTCAGCCCAGTGTTGCAGTATGAACCATATGAAATTTTGAATTTCAGATAAAACCTGGTCAACAATGTAATTACTTGTGATTTCTGCTGAAAAATAGGAAAGTTGTCTAAAAATTAAAATGAGAACGTCTTTGTTAAAAATTTGTTTGCTCCAAATAGAATATTCAGTGTTATTAGAATGTAAGGATTCAAATAACTCAACGTAGGTATAAAATAAAGACAGAAAATAAAAAGTAAGTGGTAGCCAGGCACGGTGGTGCACCCTGTAATCCCAGCAGCTTGGGAGGCTGAGGCAGGAGGATCTCAAGTTCAAAACCAGCCTCAGCAAAAATGAGGCACTAAGCAAGATAATGAGATCCTGTCTCTAAATAAAATACAAAATAGGGCTGGGGATGTGGCTCAGTGGTTGAATGCCTCTGAGTTCAATACCCAGTAAATCCTCCCCCCACCTGTAAGAAAAAAAGAAGTAAAGGGAACAAAAACAAGTAATAATAGACTTTCTTAGTCTGGGGGATTTAACTGCCTAAGATTGAAACTGCAAAATATTTTTCAAACCTACTCAAACTCCTATCAAATTAGGACTGTTGCAAATTTGACTTTTGCATTCTAAGTTTAGAACCAATTGTAGAAATGCACAGTAAATAAATTTGATAGTGATCCAGGTTTTTTGTTTGTTTGTTTGTTTGTTTTTGTGATGCTGGGGACTAAACCCTTGTGCATGCAAGGTAAGCACTCTACCAACTGAGCTATATCTCCAGCCCAGTGATCCAGTTTTAATTCTCTTGTTTGTTTTTCTTTCAAGAATGTGAAGGGGATGCCAGCTCATCCATGTGGGTGTATGTGTTCCTGGGAAATCTTCTCCGAGGATTAGGAGAAACTCCCATCCAGCCTCTGGGTATTGCCTATTTGGATGACTTCGCAACTGAAGACAATGCTGCTTTCTATATTGGTAATACCATCTCAGTCACCTAGGGAATGTGAATGCCCAGTCTGCTCATTCCATTCTCTGCTAAATTGGGTGTGAAAAGTTTTATACTTCATTCCCCATTTCTTTAGTCAGCAAGCACACTTTTAAGCACACCCAGAGGATTAGGATGGTAACCTCATAAATTAGAAGGACCTATTGCATTAAAGAAAGAAATACCAAAATAAAAAAAAAAATAGCTGTGAGCTCAACTGCAATGACATATGACCTTGTGAAAATATATTGATGGCCTTCAGATTTCATAGATTTTTTAAAATAGGACAAGTATACCACTGAGGCTTTTAAAAATTCATTTTTTTTCCACATCCCTAAAAACTGCTTTCCAGGCTAAAAGCTCTGATTATTTAAAGAGTCTTCTTTTCCTGAGTGATAGGCAACAAGGAATTCTGGGGTTTGGCAGTAGGCAGGGTTGGACAAAGGAAAGTATAAAGGATAAGGGCAAGGCCCAAGGCTAACGAATCTCTGGAGAGATCCCAGAGAATAGATGAGCAACTGAAATCACAAAAACCAAAATAATACAGCAAAGGCAAACTCTTAAGATACGTCTAAGCAATGTTTACTGGATGCCTCATATCCTGGAACTAAGCTAGAAACTAGAGATACATGGCTGACTAAGACTTGTTCTCTCTTTTATGCATCAGTCTTTATTTCTTGGAGTTCTGATCTTTTGAAGGCCTAGCCTTCAGGGACAGAGGGCAAGATTTAAGTGGAAAAGGAACCACACCTAGGGTCACTGTATAAGCTTGCCCTGCCTATGCTTTGCAGAACTCCAGGTATTCTGCTTATAGCCAAGCAGGTTATAATTAAGAACAGGTTCTTGCTCTAAAGGAAAGCTGTAGTGTAAATCAGGAACTGGAACAGAGAAAAAGCTCAGTGATATATGCACTAGGCAATTACTCTGGGGACTAGAGGAAAGGTTGCAGCCATAAAAGCATGCAGGTGCCTAAGTGTCCTCTTCCGCTCCAAGAACTCGGAGTCTGCTCACTCTTTTAGCCTTGCTTCTATTCTAAAAAGGGCCTGGTCATAGTTAGTTTCCCCTCCAGGTAATTTTACCACCCAAGAATATGTGTATGTAATGAAAGATAGAGTGTAGATATTTTGCAGGCAAGAGCTACCTTTCTGTTTATTGGAAACCAAAATCTGTTCAGTCTGTTCCACTTACCTTCTAAGGCCACCCTTGCTGGTCATGAGCATTCTGGAGAGTACTTTCCCTGCTCCATGGTCTAGCTTCTTTGCCAGCTGCTTCTATTAATCTGTGTGGACTGCAGAACCTCATAGTAAATGGATACACTTTCTCACTAAGGTAGAAGAAATCAATTTTAATGTCAAGATAGATGTTATGCTTAACTGACCATAAACATTTTTGAAAGACTATCAAAATGAGACTAATTCAAATTTTTAGCCATGGAGAATCTAACTGGGAACTAAAGTTTGCCTATTTTAGGAAATTAACAACTTCAGAGTCCTGGGGTTATTTTCTAACTAAGGGATAGTTAATGCATTAACAGTGTTCATTTATGTGCACATTTGAATTCAGCATAATGAATCCCACTATTATGTACAATTATAATTCACCAATTAGAGTAAATAATTAGCTGAGTATGGTGGCACACACCTGTATTACCCACAACTCAGGAGGCTAAGGCAGGAGGATTGGGAATTCAAAGCCAGCCTCAGCAACTTAGTCAGGCCCTAAGCAACTCAATAAGACTTTATCTCTAAATAACATATAAAAACTGGCGGGGGATGCAGCTCAGGGGTTAAGCACTCATGGGTTCAATCCCTGGTACCAAAAAAAGTAAATAATTAATTTTTAAAAAGTGTTTATTCTCCAAAAGAGAGAAATATTTGTTTCCTGATTCAGTACAGTTGGAAATTTGATGAATTAAACACAAACAAGTGAGAAATTGAAACATTTATAGCTAACTGGATCTCACATTTCTTGTTTAAAATTTTATTAATATATCAAAGAAAAAAATGGAAGTGTTTTTCTTTTCCTTTTTTTTTTTTTTTTTTTTTAATTTTCTGCTACAGGGTGTGTGCAGACGGTTGCAATTATAGGACCAATCTTTGGCTTCCTGTTAGGCTCATTATGCGCCAAACTATATGTTGACATTGGCTTTGTAAATCTAGGTAAGGGGTTTATTTTTGCTTATTTATTTATCTTAGTTACTGTAACTTTTTAAATGGGGACAGTGTGGAAAATATCAAATTGCTTTTATTAATAAAATGACAAGGTTGTAATCTTTCATAAAATGAATATAACTCCATGTAAATATTTTGATATGATCATCACATACCTTAGTAAGTGAAATAAGAAAAATGAGCAGTGATCAGAATGGGATGACCCCTGGCTTGTTATTCAATGAGCCCTTTCTCACTTCTGGTTTGCCAGACTCAGTGCATCTCAGTATATTGAAGACTGAACACATGGTTCCTTGTTGGCTCTAGTTGGTTTCAGGTGTGTCAACATTTATTGCAGCTCCATGAATTGATAATATAGTTCAGGGCTTGCCAGAAACACCTATGATTGAAAGTCTCTGGCAACCAAATTTCTCTCTTTTTTCTTACCAAACAGCATCATAACAAGACTGGTATTCCATCCAGAAGATTGCTCAGTTAGAAAAGAAATATATTCCCATAGCTACTTCTTTGTTTCCAGCCCTGTGAGATGTAACCCCAAGAAATAGATGGCATTTATCTGTTGTTTTCTTTTAAAAAATAAGTCCCCAAATTACTTTGAAACAAGAAAACGAGTCACTAGGAAAAAATATCTGGAAGTGCAAATTGAAATCATGTATTAAACTTAAGTACAAAATTCTTACACTTTTTAAATAAAATAAACTCTAAAACACGTCCCCAAAATGTTGTTTATTCATTCATTTACCCCCTTAATATGATTTTATATTTACTGTAACCCATGTTATTGTACAGCAGTGAACACAAGAGTTGAATTCTTAGTCTTTGTGAAGTTTTAAAATCCAGTTGTAGAGACTCATATAGAGGAGGAAGAATAGATGTGATGAAGACTATAGAGGAGAATTGTTAAGCGGAGCAGTTAGCATGCAGTGATAAGCTCCTAATAACATTTACTAGGTAGAATGAAATGGCAACTGAGTCTACTTGTCAAAAGACATGTGTTTATTTTGTTGTCCTTTGAATGTGGGAGAGGTATAATGATATATTTTATAGGTTCCTACACAGAAAAAAAAAAAACCACTTAGTTTGATTCAAAAATTCCAATATTTACTTTTTAGTACCATGAGAGATGATGTGCAAAAGTAAAGTTTTTAATGATACAGAAGATTGAAGTTTTATTTGCATATAAAAATCTGGCTTCAGACCTAGAATAGCTCTGAGATGTTATTAACCATATTAACCAAATTATTATCATTTAATAAATAACATTCTGATGATTTAACCTCAATAAGTCTTAAATTAGTCATCTGTGTAATGAGAGATTTGCACTAGATTTGGGCTGGAGGGTGCATGGCATAACTCTGAGAAAAATAAGGCATATATTCCATAGGTAAATCAAATGAAGGTGGTACTGCTATGAGGCAGCTGGCGCATGAGGTTTTGATTGGCCTCCTCCTGCCAGGATTTTCACTGCAGACCCACAAAACACAGTGTGAGAATCATAAGACCCCTTCCCCAATTTAGACTCTATACTGTTAACAAAAGGAAGCTCATCCTTCACTAACACCCTATTTCCTTCAAGGAGTAATAATTATAATGTCCAGATTAGGAAAAAATATCATGTACGAATTATTAGGTATTTTACGATGTGATAGAGATGATGCTAGGATTTGATTTTTTTTTTAAAGTAACTAAGTTCAATGCATTGGTTTTGCTTCACGTGCTACTTAGCCATCTTCTCTTTCAGACCATGTAACCATCACCCCGAAGGATCCCCAGTGGGTTGGTGCCTGGTGGCTTGGTTATCTCATAGCAGGAACCCTCAGTCTTCTTGCAGCTGCTCCTTTCTGGTGTTTACCCAAGAGTCTGCCAAGACCCCAAAGTGCAGAGGACTCCAATTCCTCCTCTGAGAAATCCAAATTTATTATTGATGACCACATAAACTATCAAACACCTCATGGAGAAAAAGTAAAAGTAATGGAGATGGCAAGAGGTAAGGTGGATTCTCCTTGAATTTGAAGTACTTTTAGTTTTCCTATTAGGACTTTGGGGCACTTGAAAAAAATACCATTTTCTTCCCCTCCTGTGTTAAATATAAAAATATAAAAGAGAGAGAGAGAAACTTTCAGGAAGTGGAAATGGAGTTCAAAACATGAGGTTTATATTACAGGAAAACTGATTGGCCCACATGATCAGAAGTCTGGACAGCCTTCCTTGCTTACACCAATGCTCTCACACCCCTCCTGTTTAGTCCTGCTCTTGTCTCCACCTGGGGTTGCTGCATTCTGTCAGTCTCAGTGGGCAGAAAGGAAGAGTGAATCTTCAGGGTTTTCAAGCCATTAGCAGCCAAGAGCCATCCATTTGAGAAATGTGTACCAATGCATGTCTCCCACTAGCCATCAAAGGAATCAGTGTGGAGCAGGCAAAAAGGCCTAGTGAATTCCCTTCATGGAAATGGGTGACCAACAAATCCTCCCCTTCCTCATTTCCCTTAGGGAATATTGTATTCACACTATAGAAATTCTTCAGTTTCCAACTGGTTGGCTGCATAATAGGAAGAAAAGAGAATGCCTAAGCTCCTTTCTAATTCTGAATACATGTGTGAAGTGAAGGTAGTATCCATATTTCTTTTCTTGTGATTGTGATCCCCATTTGAAGACTAAAGACCAAAAAACACCTGTGACTCTTATTTGGACAATGAGAGGTTATTCTCATTCCCATAGGATTTAACCCTCATCAGGGTTCCTAGCTGATGTACAGCTCTAACAGTCTGTCTTACATGCTTGCAGAAGCAACTGTCTATGTCTGAATCGAACCTGGCCAGATTGGAGTCCAGATGTGTACATATGACATGTTTGTGCACCACATTGAATGCTCCTGAGCACTATGTCACAGGGACCCAGCTATCTACATCCTGCTGCTACATTTCTGTCTTCTACCAAGGGTGACACTGTTTTTAATTATTTCATGTTATTTGTCTTACAGATTTCCTTCCATCGCTGAAGACTCTTTTTGGAAACCCAGTGTACTTCTTATATTTGTGTGCAAGCACCATTCAGTTCAATTCTCTCTTTGGCATGGTAACATATAAACCAAAGTACATCGAGCAGCAGTATGGACAGTCTTCCTCCAAAGCCAACTTTGTTATTGGTGTGCTGTCCTTCATAATTTCCCATGGTTACTGTCTCACATGCATATTGCTAACTTTAGTAATCATAGATTGTTTCAATATTTAGACTGAAGGTAACTTAAGGTATTTTAGATGAACTTTAAAAATAAGTATAAAAAATCCAGTAGAGTAAAATACTTAGTCTGTGGCAAAACTGTGTAGCAAGAATTATTTATAACTGTGAGTGTGTGACCCAGAAAGAATTGCTTGCAGTTTTTGAAGAAATAGAATCACATAGACCTACTGTGTACTTTATTAAGACATTGTTAATGCTGGATATTTGTGTTTCAAGTTTAGCTGAGACATCACACCTCTGGCCATTTTTCATGAACAGTTTCTAGGATTATATAAAATGGGTATTTACATTAGGTTAAAGAGTATTCACCAAAAACCAAAGCTTATATTTGCTCAGAGTCAAAGGATTTTTCTGACTCCTGCCATTACAGTTATTTAAAGGGTTTGAATTCTGGCACTTCAGTACAATCAGTAATGAGAAAGAAATTTAAGGACCAAGAAAAGCTTAAAGAAATGAATGAAGAAGAGCCAGAGTCTTCATGTAAGTGAGCAACTGGAAGTAACTGGATACCTTTAAAACTTAGATTATTCCTTTAGTTCATGAATATATCATTTAATCTTACTGTTTCAAGGCACAAAATATACTCTATTTCTTATGACATGTTATTTTATTATACTCAATGATTAAAAATAATTCATTTTTCACAAAAAAAATTTTAAAAATCTTTTTATGGCTGGCACGGTGGCACATGTCTGTAATCTCAGCAATGTAGGAGGCTGAGGCCAGAGGATCACAAGCTGAAAGCCAGCCTCAGCAACTAAGTGAGGCTCTAAGCAACTTAGTGAGACACTGTCTCTAAATTTAAAAAAAAAATTTAAAAAGGGCTGAGGATGTGGCTCGGTAGTTGAGTGCCCCAGGGTTCAATCTCTAATATTAAAAGAAAAAAATAAAATGAAACAAAAAACCTCTTCATATATCTATCTCTGAGAGAGGAAAGCATATTTTGTACTTTTAGAGATATAATTTTCCTGTAATGATCCCTGATAATGGGCACTTAGCAGATACTAAATTAATCAACCCTTCAAATTTGGATTACTCTC